CTCCCTCCTGAAGGAGCAGGAGGATTCCTTCTTGCTAGAAAGATCATGAAATCTGTGTTTGTCTTGGAGTGGTGGTGTGTGCTATGTCACACATGTGGAGGACGGAGAACAATCTTCAAAAGTCTGTTCTCACTTTCTACCACGGATCAAACTCCACTCGGCCTGTCCACTTGGCCTGGCGATGAGCACTGTTCATTACCTGCTGAGCTTTCGCGCTGGCCCCAAGCTGTTATAGACCAGCAGAGACTGTGGTGGCTTCAGCACCGTGTTGGGAGCAAGGACTTCCTTGCAAGGTGCAGACGGTGAGGACGGTTCACATACAAAGTCCCCCACCTCTGTCACCCCAGCACTTTGTTGTGTGAGCTTTCCTGTCTCTTCCAGAACTCCTGTGCCACCAGGAGCTTGCGCTTATATGACAGGAAACTTGCAGTCATTTGCTTACCTGCGTATTGAGGATAGCAGTCTACTCGGTGGCTGGTAACCTTCAGGTAAACCGATGCTCTGTGTGACTGCTAATACTGTCTGCTTGCCAGGATCTAGAGTCACCTAGGAGACAGACCCCTCGGCATGTCCGTGAGGGACAACTGGGTCTAGATTGGGTTGGCAGGGGTAAGGAGACCTGCTCTAAGTGTGGGTGACATCATCCCAGACTGAATAAGGAGAAAGCGAGCTGGGTGCTGGCTTTCCTTGCCATCTGCTTCCTGGCAGCAGATGGAAGGCAGGAGCCTCGCACCCTGTCATCATCCTTTCCTGCAATGAGTGGTTGCGTGCCCTCCAACCGCAAGCCAACATGAGCCCCTCCTCTCAGGCTGTTTCTTTTTAGATACTTTTCACAATAATAGAGACATCTGCTACAGTTCTTGACCTTGAATAATAAAGCCCATCTTTATTCTTCAGCTAACATGAGCTTTGAGTTGTCCATGTCAGAAGTTGGGCTGGGTTTCACGGCATGGTCTTTTAATCCCGGCCTGTAAGGAAGCTGAGGCAGGAAACTTGCAAGCGCCAGGCTAGCCTAGGCTATGCGTGAGTGCATGGCTAGCTGGTTAGTAATATGGTAAAGCCCTGTCTCAAAATTAAAAGGGGGAAAAAAGTAAAAAGAGGCCGAGTAGTATAGCTCAGTGGTAAAGCATTTGCTTAGTGCGAGCAAAGCCCTTTGTTCAATCCCCAGTGCTGAAAACAGCGTTACCCTCGGTTATCTCCAGCCCAGCCTCAGACTCGAGTTTGTGCCCTAGAGCTTTCTCTAACATTCCCACAACATTCCCGTGATACTGAGCACGCCCTGGGCCTGCGCCTCTGCGGCAGTCCTCCTTGGACACTGGGACAGAAATGACTTCCCTGACCCCTGGCCCTTGGTTCACATTCTGCCTTGCTGGGAAGTAACTAGTTGCCACTTTCCAGAGGTGAACACTCTCCAGTGATTTCTCACATCTCATGATTTCTAAAAGGCACCTTGCCAGCTGGGGAATTTTAGGATGAGAGATAGGTCCAGCCACGCGAATCTGTCCGTACTTTCTAAGGCATCATGAGCCAGCATCCTCTCCGTCAGGGAACATCGCTACAGGTGCTCCCAACATCAGAGAAGGAAATGCCGGTGCACACTACGTCTGTCCTTAATCCAGTGGTTCCCAACCTTCCTAGTGCTGAGACCCTTTAACACAGTTCCTCTTGTGGTGACCACAAAAGTATCTGTTACTTCAGAGCTGTAACTTGGCTGTTGCTGTGAATTATAACATCAGCATTTGACATGCATGATACCTCCTGGGGCTCGAGACCCATAGATGGAGAACCACTGCCCCAAAGGCTTTGTGGGAGCGGTGGCCTTTGAGATAGACCTGAGAGCTTCAGCGAGTTTAATGTTTAAAGAGAACAGGGAAAGATACTTCGTGGGCCAATCCCAGAAGCAAGAAGGCAGAGGACGCCACAGCTCCAAGATCACAGGGTGCAGTGGCTCTTGGCCGACCATGCTGTGCTGTCATGCGGGGCTTTTTCTTGCTGAGGGATGTGTTGGGGCGGTCAGACTTACAGCAGAGACTGGTCGAAGAGAAGAGAGAAGTCAGAGCTTGCACAGGGAGGAGCCAGTGAGCCCCTTCCCCAAAACCGGGGCCAGAACGGGTAGCTTCCCGCCTCTGCCCGCAAGCGCAGAGCAGGAACGAGGATTCTGACTTTTTGCTGTCTCTGGTTTGTTTCTTAGATGAGGGAGGGCGGGAGAGGTGGAGGGCGACGCCACGCAGGCGCGTGCGCCCTCCACCGTGCGTCCCCACTCCGAGCCGCACGTCTTCCCCCGTCGCTTTCCAGCATTGGTGTGTGTCCACACGGCCCGGAAGCCTCGGAGGCGGCTTGCAGAGATCCGTCCACCACGCCGGCCCTGGGGTCAGACTCGGGATCCTGGGCTTGGCGGCAGCGCGCTACTTCAGCCGCTGAGCCATTTTGCCGGCCCTCCGCTTGTTTATTTATTTATTTTTTTTGAAATAAGTCTCTTGCCAAACCAAACCTTGCTCTTTACCACGGTTGCCGCATCTCCCAAGTCTACTGTATTGGTGCATCAGAGCTGTAACTACACGACATCCGGATCTGAACTCAGAGCCTCACGCCAGTGCGCTGAGCACTTTGCCCACAGGACTATCTCCCCAATCCGCTACTTAGTTTTTATCATTTTAATAGCTATTTTCTTGATTACCCGTGAGACTGTTTCTCCTGCGGTTATTAGTTTTTGCCCATTATTAAATATCATTTTCTGTGTATGTAAAATTCATCTTAGCTTTTAAACTATTCAAATCTTCTCTCGGGCAGAGGACATAGGTCTCTTCCTTATCCTTTTACCTTCCAAGTTTTATGTTTTCAAATTCAGAAGTTGCTAGGGATGATGACGCAGTACTCAGGAGGCTAAGTCACCCCATCTCAGAAAAAAAAAATTTTTTTTTGTTTTAACTTCATTTATTTTATGTACATGGCTACTATTTCATCTGTATGTGTGTCTGCGTACCATATGCATGCCCTGCGTTCCCAAGGGGCCAGAAGAGCATGTCTGATCCTTTGGGACCGGAGCTACAGACAGTTGTGAGTTGCCATTTGGGTGCTGGGAAAGGAACCCAGGTCCTGTGAAGGAGTCATTGTGCTTAACCACTGAGCCACCTCTCCAGCCTCCAAAAATAAAAATTAAGGATCAATAAATCAGTTTTTTTATGACTTATGTGCATTGGTGTGGACGTATGAGTATGGGTAGATGGACAGGGTTTCATGAAGTTAGGCTATCCTTGAACTCACTGTGTAGCCAAGGCTGGCCCAAACCTCCTGATCCTGCTGTCTGTACCTCCCAAGGTCTGTGAATACAGACATGCATGGTCCATGCTAACATTAAGCTGTTCTGTTGTTACCATCTTTAAGAAATCCTTCCTTGCATTGGGAAGCCAGAATCCTGTGATATGTGGAGCTTTAGTTTTCAAGTTGAAGCTCTGTTCCATATTGGGTTTATTTCAGGAAGAGGGGCTGGTGTGGATCTGACTTTCTTTCTTTCTAATCAGAAGTCTGCTGGGTCACCAACTCTTCTGTTGTGTACTCCCTCATACCTGTGGAGATGCCCGAGTCTGTTCTTTGCTTTGAGTAGTTAATGCATCTACTTCCTCGAGATCACAAGGAACTGGTTAATATAGTTTTGTGGTATTATTGATACTTGATCTGTGCCTGAACTCTCTCTCCTCAATACATTTTATAACCAGTTGGCCGCATTCTGAAATCCTAGGTGCTCTTGGGATTTTCACTGGAATTCATTGAACTAATAATAAAGTAAGTTATAAAGAGCTGATGTGTGCATAGACTTAGTCTCTTCACTCATGTCGCTTATGGTCCTTTCTGTATCCTCCAATGAAAGCTTAGAAATACTCACACCTGCTGGGCATGGTGGCTTGTGACTTTCATACTGGCACTCAGGAAGCAGAGGCAGGCAGAGCTCTATGAGTTTGGGGCCAGCCTGGTCTACAATCCAGTAAGGATACATGGTAAGAGCCTGTCTGGAGGTGGGCAGTGGCAGTGTGTGTGTGTGTGTGTGTGTGTGTGTGTGTGTGTGTGTGTGGTGGGTTACGTTTGTATTTGTTTTATTTGTTAAATGTTCCAGACACAGAACAACTTGACAGAAACACGGTCTGCAGTGCTGAAAAGCATGGTTCTAAGCTGTTTGTGGTTCTGTCAGGGTTGGGAGGGCGGCACGTACTAGGCTTTGGTTTGTTGTCATTGAATAACCTGTATAACACACCAGGCGCCCTTGCCAGACACAGTTCATTGGTTATCTGCCCAAATGCCCAATGGGTGGCGCTGTTCTTCCAGCAGGGTCTCTATCACACACACTTTGATTTACTCGTATCCTTCGCCTTGCTTTTCTTTCGTTGGGGGTGATTCACGGGTTATTTTGTTTGGAGGGAGTTGGGGGCTTGTTTGTGTGGAGGTTGTTTTGTGGCAAGTTGTTGAGATGTTATTTAGGGCTTTGGTTCTGTGAGATAGCCTCGCTGTGTTGCCTAGGTCGGCCTGAAACTTGCAGGTACTGGGTTTGAGGCACATTCAACCTGGCATCAGTTGCTGATATCTAGTCTCCTCAGAGTTTCTCCCCTGTGGCGTGATTTCCCAGAGCTAGCTAATGTGACAGGAGAGCCATTATCTGCTTTTCCAATGGAAACCCCAAACACATTAGCATTTAAAATGTGTGTGAATCTCGATTATTTTTAGGAATCTCTTTGCATGACATTAATCATTAGTTTAATATTGAAATGGACAAAAATGGAAAGCTAGGCTGACAGGCTTTTGTTGGCTCAATATCAAGGCTTCCTCTCGGCCCACTGACTACTGAGGTGAACATTTCAGTTCCTGGGTGACAGAGGGACAGGTCGCTGGTTCTGAATGCTGCACTTGTGGGGGAATTTTCAGTCAAAGTCTGTAACTTCACCAAGCTTTCCCTTAGTTCTTCAGCCATGTTAAAGCCAATAATTTTGTTGTCATTCGTGTCCCTCCAGCTTCCAATTGTGGAGAAAATAAGAACCATCGCCCAGACTGTCTACGGAGCCAAGGATATTGAGCTTTCTCCTGAGGCACAGTCTAAAATTGATCGCTATACGCAACAGGTAAACAAGATCCGTGTGCTTTTAGGGGGGTGTCTGGCTTGTAGTCTCAAATGCCCCCCTTGATTTCAGGACAGGTAAGTTCTGTCTCAGTTAACCCGCTCAATTTCCCGAGGCTCAGCAGAGGTGAGAGCGGTGGCGTAGGTCTTGTTGGCTGACGAGAGCATCATGGTGAGGGCATTTATCGTCTTACATCCGAGGCTTCCAAATTCATGAATGTGACTCTGGTTGGTAGTGCCAGGGATGAAACGCAGGGCCCGGCTCCTGGGCTGTCAGCACTTTCCTGCTGGGCTCCATCGCTATTCGGTGTATGAAAGATGGGTGTCATCCATGTTCACACGTGCCCATCCACGCACTGGAAACGCCCCCTTGGCACACAGAGGGGAAGTCACCGAGCGACTCTTCACAGCACTTTCCCCTCATTGTGGGTTACTTGTGTGCTGCAGGTGAGGGGAACTCGACGGAAGTGTCCAGTGGTGTTTTCATGCAAGCCGTTCATTCGCTTGTTCTTGGGGACTGAAGGCTCCACCATCTTGTGTGTCTAGACCGTGACAAGGCCCAGCGAGCAAGCAGCCGTGGGAGGGCCGTGGGCCTCGAATGCTTCCGCCAGTTTCAGCCTCCTGACATACAAGTCAGAGTCTCACACGCCTGCCGCTGGGGTCGCTCCATTACACGTCACGCTGTTGGTTTTTCCCCTCCAGCACCTTTTTCCTAATCATAAATACGTTTGATCCTATCAGTGCCAAGTTGAGTGTTCTCTGGGGTTTGGTAAAAATTATTTTTGTCAGCCAGTTACGGTGGTGCCCGCCTTTAATCCCAGCACTTTTGGGAGGCTGAGGCAGATATATCTCTGCGATTTTAAGGCCAGCCTGGTCTACAGAGCCGGTATATGACAGCTCAGGCCACACAGAGAAACCTGTCCTGGAAAACCAAGCATATGCTTACCTGGCAGGTGGCGATGTCATCGTCATGACCGAGGCTTTTCCAGGGCAAGGCTTATCCATTGCACTAGGATTTGCTGGACGCTGCCATTTCCCTAGATGTGGAAAACTCAATCGCATCATTTGAGGTAGTGGAGGACTGCTTGCACACTCTCCTGGGGGAAAAATGTTCTTTCCTTGAACTTTGCACACACACACTCTTGGCTTGTCTTTTTACTTTGCGGTTTCGGTTTGTGGTTTTTGTTGTTGTTTTTATTTTATTTGATTTGATTTGCTTTGGTCCTGGAGATGGAACTAAGCCTCTCACATACTCAGCCAGTACTCAACTGAGGGACATTCCTGGGCCCAGCTTTTCTTTCTTTCTTTCCGTGTGTGAGAGGGTGTGTTTTGCACACGTGTGAGGGTATAGGTGTGCGCACCTGTGCATCGACACGCAGGGAGCGGAGTGTCGCGTGCTTTTCTCTATCATGTTCTACCTGCCTGTCTTGAGGTAGGGTCTCTCACTGAACCGAAAGTCAACCCCTTTGGCTGGTCTACCTAGCCAGCGAGCTCTCAGGATCCAGTTCTCTCCTCACACCCACCTCCCATCATGCTGGCGTTTCAGGCGTGCACAGTCAGGTTCTCAAGTGCTTTCACCCACGGAACCATCTCTCTGGTCCCCGAGCTTCCTTTACTTACTTCTTATTTGCTGACTTACTCATAAAAGATTCCCAGACTCGGGCCGTAGCCCGGGTGCTTGCTTCCTCACCAAGTCCTGAGTTCAGTCCCCGGCACTGCATAACCTGGGTTTGGATTTGCAAACCTATAATTACTGGAAGGTAAGAGCAGGAAAATTCTAAGTTCAAGGACTTTCTCAGCTACATAGAATGCGGAAGATCGTCCAGGCTAACAACCTTCTCTCTCTCCTAAAACGTAAGAGACCATATCTCCCTTAAAATACAAACCAAAGGATTGCTGGTCACTCCACACTTGCATGTTCTGTGGTAAATCTTTCACTTCTGCACAAACAGCTAAGTCAGGTCGTTGTTGTTGAGTTTGGGGCATTTTTCTCATGAACTTTTAATGCTCAGAACTATTAGTTATTTTAATAGCCTTCTTAGTTATAAAACATTATTTATGTGTAATGTTAATAGGATGACATTTTTTAATTTTTCTAATAAATTTTCAAAGGCTGTGTGTATATATACATTTACATATGTGTCATTGCATAGGAATTTCAATATCTAATCATTTTATAAAATTAAAAAAGCTGGGTATTACTTGTTATGTTCTTTTTTTTTTTTCTTACCAAATTTCTCGTTAGTATGTAAAAGTAGGGGTTTCAAAACCACTCCCACCCCACATACACAATTGATAGTACTCCAAAATATTCTAAATAGTTTTAGGTTGAATCATAAGCAATTACGTTGTGTCATCTGTCTGTCTACCACGGGAATATTCCTCACAAGTTAGTGTCAAGTATGTGGTTGCCGTTATTAGTCAGGTCTCTGAGGGACGCTGTGTGCAGCTTAATCACAGCAACTCCCAGACACTGTCCTTTTTGTAAGCTGCCGCACGTGATTTCCTCCCCTTTCACCTTTGGAATTCAGGGTCAGGCACAGACTTTGGTCCTTCAAAATAAAAGAGGCTGAAAAAGTGACCTCATCTTAGTTCCTATAATGTAATCTCAGATCAAATAGCCATGATTCATAAACCAGCACAAAGGGCTCTTTGCTTCCCCCGCGGACTCCGAGGACAGAACAATGAGACTGAGAGCCTCATTAGGAGCCTTGTGTGGATTACCTTTCTCCTTCCTGGATATTAATAGCCTTGGAAAGTACTTTCCACAGCTGTCCCACTGCTGTGCCTAAAAATAGCCTCACATACACACATACACATACAGACAGATGGGCACGCGCACACATATGCAAATGTGCAAGCGCCTCCTTCTTAGGAGACCCTCCAGAATCAACAGTAGACCCCACACCCTGCTGAGTTATCGCCGCATAAACACTCGCTCTTATCCTCAGCCTCATGCTCAGCAAGCAGTAGCAGCCTCTCCTGCCCCTGCAAACCATTGCTGCAGAGGTGGGATAAAGAGAAGATTATGTCCAAGGGGCCGGAATTTATGGCAGTGAATGCATTTGCTTTTCTTTCTTACAGGGTTTTGGAAATTTGCCCATTTGCATGGCAAAGACGCACCTTTCTCTGTCTCACGAACCTGACAAAAAGGGGGTGCCGAGGGATTTCGTTCTGCCTATCAGTGATGTCCGGGCCAGCATTGGTGCTGGGTTCATTTACCCGTTGGTGGGAACAGTGAGTACCAGGCTTCAAAGCCTTTCCTCCTTTGTGTTGCCGTCACGCCTTACTCATGCTCTGCCAGCTCCGCAGATCGCACACCGGGGAGGAATTGATAGTATTTGTTATTTTTCTAAGCACACTACCACCATAAACGGGGCGACAAAAAAAAAAAAAAAGCCACCTCTATCCTTGCAGGTCACAGGCGGGTCTACTGTCGGGTCACGTGTTCAGAACCGTGGGAGGCACAGAGGAGGGTGGTGGCCCAGACTTACCAGTGTGCTCCTCCAGCAGCAGTCTGCCCGAGCACTGGGCTGCAGGCTTTTTCACAGACTAGCGACTCAAACTTTCCATAGCATGCTTCTGTAAGGAACCTGGGGCTGGCTGCTCACGCTGGCCGGGGCCCTAACAGCTACCCCAGGAGCTGGGGGGCGGGGGCCGGGCCGGGGCCCCTCCCCCTTGCTCCTTCCTGAGCACATCTGATAGAACCTGTCTGAGAAAATGAGTAGGTCACCTCGGTTCCCGTTTCACAGGGTCATTGTAACGGGACTGTGTCCCTCGGAACGGTCATTGTCATTTTCCGTTGTCTGTTAAAGAAGGGAGGAGGTGAGCAGAGAAAGGACGGGCTTTACCCTCGCCGCCCAGGCTAGCCCTCCACAGGCGCTGTGGCTTAAACCTGACTTCGTCATATGATTGCTCCTAGATTAGGGTTAGAATTTTAAAATTACAGCTGATTTAGCTGAGCTTGGTAGCACACACCTTTAACTGAACACGCAGAAGGCGAAGGCAGGCAGAGGTTTGAATTTGAGAGTGACCTGGTTTAACAGTGAGTCCCAGGACAGCCAGGGCTACGCAGAAAAACCCTGTCTCACAAAAAAAGAGGGGGTGGGGAATTCCTCCTCAACATCTCTGTTACTGCAACGGTTACCACCTGACCTAAGTCCAAATTTTAAAAGTTACAATAATTTTTATGCAAACAAGAAATGAATGGACAAAAAAACATTCCTTCCCAGACATCTGACCATTTCATTTGATGTTGGGCAAAATCTTTTCTGAGCACAATTTTTTAATTCCCCATGCACTGTGAGGTGTAGAGATTCTGAGGAAAGCAAGTGTGAGCAACAGAATAATGGCCAAGGTAGAATTGTCTGGAGTCCGCTGCCTTGTGGGGCCATATAACCGCACTCACAGGCAAGGAGGAGCCAGCTGGCGACTGGAGACTGAGTATCAGCTCAAAGGCTCAAGACAACATGATGTCCCTACCCAGGCAACGTAGTGTGGCTGGAATTGGTTGAGGGTCGGGGTAAGAGGCTGAGACCCGGGATAAAGGTGGTTCAGGGCCTGAATGGCCATCTTGAATGCAATCCCTTAGGGACTTGGCTTTCAGTCTAGAGCACCCCTACAGGGCGGGGTTTGCTCAGAATGTGCGTTTTGGGAGGCCAGCTGCAGCACCTCGTGGAGAGAGTTTAAGGGAAACAGAACCAGCCCCAGGGGCAGCTGTAGAGTGTGGAAACATCCCAGCATGCTGTGAAGATGGCCGCCTGGCACGGGACATACAGAAGGGGGTGATTTTCCTGCCCTTCTCTTTGCTATGACAAAAACAAGTTAAGGGAGGAAGGACGGAGAATGTCATTACTTTGGCTCATGGCTGAGGAAGGAATACATACAGTCTACCATGGAGGAAAGGCAGCTGGCCACAGGGAGGTGGGCTGGACCTCAATACCTCACGTCCTAGCCCCAGGGAGCCACTTCCTCCAGCGAAGCTCCACCACCCACGTCCTACGGCTCCTTCAAACAGGAACCGAGTGTTCAGACACATGAGCTCTGGGGAATAGTTCATATGCAGACAGAAAAGGGAAGCGTTTTAGTCTGCTGGCTTTGGGTAGTCACGCCATTATTAAGGGAAGAACGTAGGAAAAGCCAGTGGCCCATGCCTTGAATCCCGGTATTAGTGAGGTAGAGGCAGGCGGATCTCTGCCGGTTCAAGGCCAGTCTGGTCTACAGACTGAGTTCCAGACCTACATTTGTCATTTGTGGGAGAAGCAGAGAGAGAGAGAGCATACACAGCTGTGAGCATCTTGGAAAGAGGTAGATTGACAGGGGCAAGTCTGACTCTAGTGTCAGATCGTCTGAATGGCTATGGGGACAAAGGTACCAAGTCAGCCAGGGAGATGGTTCTGTGGTGAATCTTTTCACACCTCACCACCTTCTCCGCCAGGCTAAAAGCAAAACTGTCCCGGAAAATCCGTGAACTCTGCTCCTGGACCCGGCTCTTTGACGTGTGACTGCTTAATCAGTGAAACCATGGAATAGCCCTGGAGCGGTGGCCGCTCCCAGCGGTTCCTGGACTGAGTCAGCTATCTGTGTCACTATCTCACCTCCAGGACACAGGGAGTGTCTGTGCTTGCTCTATGGTACAATCTTGAAACCATGGGGCCTGTGGAGTCAGGAAGGAAGTGGAGCCTGAGTAAAAGCCGGTCCTGGAAGGCAGGACACTGTTGCTGGAGGCAGTGAGACAGCCGCTCTCTGTGACAGCACAGGAAGCCCGTGCAAGCCGGGCAAATTCCCCCAGGGAGGCCAGGATCTCCTAATAAGGCTGGAATTCACTTTCTTTGACCCCACTCTGGGCCCTACCACAGGCTGCTGGAATGCCTCGAGCATTCATCACCCCTTCGAGAGACATTGCGGTAACTTCCTGGTACGGTGACTTCAGGAGAAGGAATGGGGACACGAGGAGAACTGGCTCCTGCAGGTGGGAAAATTCTAGCAGAGTGAGTCAGTGTTGTGCTTAGTCATTCCACGTTCAGTCGCTATCATGGGTCTGAGATCCAGGCTCTTCCCCTCCTCCAACAGACCTCACGGTCAGAGAAGCTCTCCATTCCTCAGTAGCACTCACTCACTCACTCATTCAGCAAACCATCGATCAGCACCTCCAGCGTGTGTGACCATGAACTTCATGGAGAGGAACAGGTGGCACAGGTCCCCTGTGGGCCTCTGCCGGACAGACTCTGGTAAATAAATGTCCGACGCGGACAGGGTGCTGTGGGCTTTAGAACATAAGGACAGGTCCCCTGTCGGTATGTCCCAAAGGGAGGCTAGTAGCCCTTCTGCACCTTCCTTACCCCATAGGTCTTGAAAGCAAAGACTCCTAACACAAACCAGTCCAGCCATGACAATAGCTGTTTGACCCTGTTGGCAAATCTCCATGTTTGACCATGGAGAAATGCTAGAGGGGGTTGGCTTCTTTGTCCTGTCCTCATTTTAGCTCTAAATACCTACCTGTCCTTCCCCCTTTTACCTAGCTGTCCTGTGCATTTCTGTGGCTGACACGTCACATCGCATTCTGTTTGGGAATTGCTGTAACTGGAGCTGATAGTCAGTAACTGATGGTCAGTGTGTCACACAGTGAGGAGGCCTCTCTGGCCCATCTCACCTCCCCAGGCTTTTCCACAGGAACCCCTCGGCTCAAGGCCCCAGAAGGCTTTCCTGTGGGGGGTTCTCTTTTTGTTAAGGGAGCCAAGCATTTCTTTCTAAAGTAAGTTTCTCTGTTACTTCTCTGCATAAGAGTGCATTCTGGGCTGGCGGGATGGCTCAGTGGATGAAGCTGCCTAGCCTGACAACTTGAGTCCAATCCCAGGGACCTACCGTAGGGTAGGAGAGAGCCTCCTGGAAGTTCTCCTCAGAACTCCACACGCGTGTGCACACAGCCATACATAAAATTAGTCGATGCAAACAAATCTAGAGAACACATTTCTGTGTGTCCTTGCTTTGGGGTGGCCACAGGTTCGTATTCTTCCCAACACTCATGAAATGACCGTCAACCAGTTCAGCGCTGCTGCTCGGGACCTCTTATTCTGAGAAACAATTTTCCAAATGGACATTTTTGTGGTGGGGAGAAGGGACAAATGCTTTCATATAGTTTTCCCAGCCTCACATTTTATAAATGGCTTTATTCCTCAGAGCTGATGGTTTGTAATAGCCAATAAACCCAAAAGCCCGTACAACTTTCCAGAAAGTAATCTCACACCAAAAGAAAAAAAAAAAAATAGCAGGTGTTCTCTGCTCTATCACATTGGCACAGTCTTCAGTTTCTTAGAAAGCCAGTTTAATCACTTGGCATGATATTTACCAGGTAAGCCACATATGTGAAGTGATGCTGGAAAATAAATTCTTGCAGAAAGGACCAAAAAGCCCACACCGCAGCCTTAGCACAGAGCAGCGTATATCACTTTTACAACATAAAAATACAATAAATAGGGATGAGCCATAAGCACTTGGAACAATATTTAACTTGGTCCAAACACTTTCAGGAGAGGCAGAGTGCCTCCCCGCGTGTGGGATCTGACCCCGAGGGTCTGCCTGGCCTGTCTGGACTGCCGGGCGGCGGTCTGCAGGTGGCCTGCTGCGGTCCAGCGAGAGGACGAGAGGACGAGGACCACGCTCTAGTGGTCCCAGTAGCCGCATGTGCTGAGGGTGGTTTGTCTGGGCCCGCCCAGTGTTTATGCAAAAGAGGTGCAAGAGGGTCTCCCTGTCGATTAGTCCCGGCCCTCCTTAGGTTCTGTTTCAGGGTAGAGAGTGGGTGGAGCACATCTTCCTCCTCAGAGAACTTTCCTAAGCAGTGACACGTTTTCAAAACAGCGTGGAGAGGTATCCAACCAAGCTCGAATTCTTAGCAGATGTCCATTTGAAGTTAGCTCTCTCTGTGACTGTTTTCCTTTGATAGCACACTGAGGCTGTGAGGGAAGGGCTCTGGAAGAATGTACAGTGTGAGTTCTTTCTAGGTGGCTTTGTTAGGCAGCTGACTAGTGGGTCTCCCTACATAGCCCAGGCTAGCCTTGAGCTCACACTTCTTCTGCCTCGGCCTCCTAAATGCTGAAATTATGTGAGTCAGTTACTATGCATAACAGATTTTTTTTTTTTTAATTAACCACTGTGGGGCTTAATTTGATGCCATGCAGACTAGTTTTGTTTGTTTTTAATGACAATCTTGACTGGAATCTTGGGCTTGAACAATCTTT